TTAAATATGTCTTACTCCAATATCCTAGCCCATATAAAACGTCGATTTTCCATTATTTCTACCAGTTTTGGCTGTTTTGCTGGACTGGAACAATTCCACCTGTTTTCTGTTAGAGTACGTTCAGCAATTCTGACTATCCGATACTAGGTGAATTCTTATAGATTTCCAAGACGATCTTCTATACTATTCACAATTGCACTAAGAACTTTTTCTCTGTATCTCTTATCGATATTGTAGCAAAATAACTGTTGACTCTGCTGATAGCGTGAGATTTTGCCACTTGCTTAAAAAATTCTACTTTTTGAAACATGCACATAATATATGCAAGAAATTTCATGTATAAAGAAAACTGCAAATCCTATGCGAAACTTCGAAAACGATGAGTGAACAGATTAACACATAACTAAGCGGAAAGGTTAAAATTGGAAGGGAAACAAATCTACTTATAATCAGACACAATACAAAGATATCGTTATGAATTTTTTACACAACATAACATAAACACACGGCTATTCCTGAATACTAAACTTATAAAAAATTGTTTGATTACAGCGTCATTTCAACAAGCGAGCGATGTGTTTTACATTATTTGTGTAGTGCAATTTATATCGCTAGCTTAAAGTGAAAAGTGGCTAATTCCATGTTTACAAATTTTACAAGAGGAAACAAAAGTTATTCTAGCCATTTTCTTCAATTAATTTGCAAGACTTTGTTTGAATGCAACATTTTGGGCGTTTAAAGCAAAACAAAACTATAAGAATCCGAGAGTTTAGATATTATGTAGAAGATTTTTTATTACTTTGGCCTTATACAATTCCTTGTGCCTCTTTTGGACTTAGCAAACTAGTAGCATTAATAATTTTGGAAATGATGCATTTTTAATTGCTCTTGCCTTTTATATTACAATATGAGTTTTCACAAAAGGTGGACTTTGCAACTTTTCACTCTAAGTTAGCGAAATGTAGATTTTTAATGTTGAATGTGTTTAGTAATGCTCACAAAATATAATTTATAATTACACCATTTTTATACATTTATATCTACTACACCGTGCTACAAAAACCAAAAATTTTCAAAACACACGAAAAAAATCAATATAATCACAAAACTAGGAGCCAAATATAGTATAACTGCGTTTTTTTTTATAAAAAAATATTTTAAACAAAAAAATTACAAACCGATACGGTATCGTTGTAAAGGCGATTAAACCCCTTTCTTCTGATATGCATATTTGTATACTTCGTATATAAAAATTTGAGAAAAAACATTTAAAGTCAAAAAATACCTTTTTTAAAAAAAAATATTTTAAACAAAAAAATTACAAACCGATTTTTAAAAAAATGTTATCGTTGTAAAGGATACCAGAAAACTTATACGTTCCGAAACCCAAAAATTTCTATTACACAGTATACAGTATACACATACATATATAAACTCCTGCCCCCTAAGTGAAAGGCTGGCTACGCCCCACAGTGGTTCGGATAGCAGATCTAGCTGGACGAAAGTCAAAATTTTATTTGTTTTTAAAATACTTAATGGTACTTGGAATACATTCCTGACAATGCATTCAAATAGAAATTGCATTTATTAAAGCAATAAAAACAATGGAAGCAAAAAAAGGTAAGTCAACGCCGTCTATTTCAGAACTCTATTTTAAAAACTGAAATTTAACTTAAAAGATTGCTAATTGAACTCACAAATCTTTGAATATTTACAAATTGACTTTATAAACCAAAAACTGCACTTATTCCACTATAGATTCAGCGGTCATAACGCAATTTATGTCCACATTGGTATAAGCGAATGTATACTGAAAATTCGTCGTTTTGATCAATTAAAAAAATAAACTAAAGAGTAGGAAAAGTAAAGGCCGCCGAAGGCCGTTATAAAACCACTTGCATATTACTCTTTACACCTTCGCAAATGCAGGGGGGCAAGTTCGATAACCAAGTCTAACCAATTGGCTTAGATATTTGCATTTTAGTGACGGTATGTCAAATCTCCAAATTCGAAAGTAATTATTAACAGGAACAACAAAAAAAGCCAAAAATCAGCAAAAAGCCCCAGGTACTTTAAACTTGCACTTCATTTTACTTAAGTTGTATGGACTAGAATACTGCACACTCAATATCTTTCTAAGAAACCTAATTAAAGACATCGAAATTTTTGCGAAAGTTTGTTGAGTTTTTTTTTTTCAAATGTTGCACAAAGTTTGAAACCTGGATTTACACAATTTCTTTGATAATGAACAAATTACATTTTTATGAAACAAGTAATTAAGATTAAATAGATAATAAAAAAATAGTCAAATCTCAAGATGTGGGTGTCGCATAATTATGATGCGGACTATTTTTATTAGAGAATTAGCTGTTCTATTAAATTATTTTAAAATGTACTAAGTCATTTTATTATTGTGAACTGAAAATAAAAATCAAAATATAAAGCGACATATTTTTATTAAACTTTTAACAAATTTGTAATCGTTTTAAGTATAATCTCTACAAAAATTTTCATATGTGAAGGTTTAAGATTTTTTAAATATTTTGTTTGCCATGTTGGTGCCGCCATTTTGAATTTTGGTAAATGACTTTAGATTCGTAATCAGCAGCCCAGAAAACCCCCCAGATACCTAGTTTCATAGAAATTACCGATTTTCTTTTTAATCTTCGTCCGCCATATTGGATCTGCGATTTTGAATTTTTGATAAGTGACTACAGATTCGTAATCAGCGACCCAAAAATCCCCTAAATAAGAAGTGGTGTAAAAATCCATTAAAGAGTATTTGTTTAAATAGCTTCGTCCAGCTAGATTTGCGATCCGAACCACTGTGCGCCCTTGTATACAAAACAATTAAAGTACTTCTTTTAGAGCGCATACATGGCTCCATAATAATGATTCCAGTATCTTCATTTATGTATATTGTAACTATCAATATCTTATTAAGACAAGTGTAAAATTTTTTTATCTTAAACTAATCAAGTTAGAAGGACGAAATTCGAGGATGTGGTAGTTAAAATATAAGTCCTGGACATATATTTTATCAAAAATACATATTGGAAATTTCTCAGGATATTCAAGGATAAAGTTTTAAATGGACATTTTCAACACTTATTCGTCCTGGTGCACCCACAAATTAAATTTTTTTTGTATTCTACAGAAGTTTTCCTTTTAATTGATACCCATTTTGTTATTCTACAATGCACCGAATCTTTTGAATAATTTTTTTATTCAATCATATTCTAGAAATTTCAAAATCCTTTAAAAAAAACCTGACGTCAGAGAGAAAAACTAAAAATGCAGTTTTACTACATTTGGTCCCCAGTTTTGTAAATACATATATTGATTTTTTCGTGTGTAAAATTTTCTGCCGCGCGGTGCTTTATGCGGATACATACATATCTGTGGACTTTTGACAAAACAACCTCTGTGCTTTCTGTAGGTTGGAATTTAGAGTAAATTATAAGGAGCTTCCATTTAAACATTTTAAATTTTTATTTAACTTTCATTAAGATAGAATCTAAACATAAAAATATCATTCGATAACTCAATGAATTACTGCTTTGGAGAGAAAATGACCTCACCCAAAAGTCAAAAGTCCACAGATATGTGTGTATGTATAAACCTACATATCGCTCATTTACAACTCAGTTACAACTAAAAAAAGGAATTTAACAAGTGAAGCGTTATAGGGAGTGTACTCGTACCCAAAACTATTAAAAGTTTTAGAAAACTTCCACTGGCTTTGCATTTTCTTACCCAAAAAACTTGAAAAATATTGGAAAATGAGAGAGCAAAATGTGATAGAGCTGCAAATTTATGGTGGAAAAATTTTTACCAGCGAAAACTTGCAAGTTAGAATATCAGCTGATCACAAACATATGTATGTTCGTGAATAAACAAAAGAAAATACGGCCTTTTTGAATTATTTATTGCAAACTTTATTATCAATTCTAATATACAACGAAATATACATAAATAAAATTTATTAAAGCACAAAGTTTGTTGAGTTTATTTTTAGAATACCAAATGAAAATTCGTTCGATCAGCACTTTCGACCACAGTCGAAGATCGAATGCAACTCATAATAGAGGCCAAAAATTTCGAATCTTTATTGTTTTTTCTATTGGCACAAAGTGCTAGCTCAAAATTTGGATCATATATGACTTCCGAGTCTTTTCGATTGCTGAGTATTAGGCCTTATGGACCCAAATGGGGGAAATTAGCTTATGGTTACAGAAGATATGTAACAAAGCGTGTTTACCGCTGGTAAACCCAACTGAAAGTTGAAATTTAAAAACTAATTAATAAATTTAAGTAAAACCTGTGGATAATTGACAATAAACTCCTTTTTTCGAGATAACTATTTTTCAAGTAAAACCTGTGCAACAGTTATTATTTTACACCCTGTATATTATAAAATATTAATACATACCTGGAAAAAGGAGTACAAAAGAAGTACAAAATTAAGAAACTTGTACATTTCCAGATATTTTTTTTCGGAGCACAAGGGAATACATTGCAATTAAAAGGAGTACGTTTACTCCCTAACCTGTCTCGGGAGCCAGTTCGAAAACTTTTCAAGAACGCCCAACTTCAGAATTTTATTGAAGAAGGCCCTAATTCAAAATTTTATTGAAAAACACCCTATCTGAGAATTTAGTTGAAGAAGGCCCTATCTCAAACGAAAATACATTGAAAATAAGCTGAGAACTGGCTGCCGTGATAGGGGTCGCCTTCCACTCAGCCATCGATATGCTGCTGGATAGTTTTGTCTGAGGAATACGGGTACACACCTGTTCTCTTCTTACGCGGAATTTTTAACCAATATGAGGAATGATATAAGGAGTGATTCTACGTCATTAGCAAAAAAATTCCATTTTTTGAGTTCGGACAGTATTTTAGTAAATGAACGATATATCCTTGAATACAAATGTACATACATATGTATGTACATAAGGTATGTACATACGTATATATTTGCATATTTGCTTATATTCCAGCTATATCTTTGGAGCCGCACGTTAAATCGTTGCATCTGACTCTAGCATATCAGTTTCCGCAGAATCAGTTTAATGCACTTAAAAGCTTAGTGGAATCGCTAGATGCGTCCTGTGCATCCAACTGGGAGCTGCGTCTGTATTCTCGCGACCCTCGGCTAGCCACTAAACAAGTACATTGTTTCATTTGTAATTGTTGCTGTTTGCCCCATTCTTATGATTACAGCAATATTTTTTAATTGGCAATTTCTCTTTTATTTCGTTTACCTCTTTGCTTACTTTTCTACATACACATACAAACGTCCTATCATTGGTGTTGTTCTCTTGCTTGTGCGATGCGCTGGGGTAGGTGCACAAAGTGGTGTATCCCCACAGTCCACATGAAATCGATGAACTGGAGTTGCGCATCGGCGATTACATTTATTTGAATACAGATGCAGTCGACAACTCGTGCGATGGCTGGGCCGAGGGTATTTCATGGCTAACCGGCAGCTCCGGACATTTACCTGTAAATTACACGGAACGAACTGCCGAGTCAGATGCGTGGACATTGCATCGTATTGTGCAGTTATCCAAATCGATGACACCATCACTAATATCTGCCGACGAAATTGATATTGTTGACGGGCGGAGCATTTCCACTGAAGCTGAGGAGCAGCAAAGGGATTTGCATCATCAAAGTAGGTGAAGCAGTATTTTCTTACATCCACATGCATTATAAACTTACCTAAATTAAATATTTAATTTTAATGAAGAGCTTTATTAATTTTTTCCAATTTCTGGCATTTCTTGCACGGCGTTAGTTGGTCTTCCTCACGAACTAATTGACGGCTCGGTATTTAATGAGGACTCTGAAAATAGCGTGGAAAAATATTTACGTAAAACTCTGCAACCTTGCTTGGATTTGCCATTACTGCAAAGTGTGAACAGCCAAACAACTCATAATAGCAGCCATCAGTCACAATCTCAACAGGCTAGTCAACATACAGTGCAACAGCAGATCAAACAGCAAGATACGCCGAGTTTAGAAATGAATGTGCCAGATGTGGCTAAACGGTTAGGGGACATGGACATAATGGTGGAACCGATGGGTGTTGCAGCACCAAATGCTGATGACACGCTCAGTATGGATTCGGAGCGTTCACACGAGGCTGCGAGCCTTGAAGTAGCACCGGTGAAATGTCGTCGGATATACATAATGCGACATGGAGAGCGTGTGGATTT